CTCATTTAGAATTAATTAGAGTTACATTTGGAGCAGGAATCCCAGGGAGCATTAGATGTGTAACTCCATACTGACATAGTGACTTTCTTGTGTTAATTCTTCCCCCAGTGATGTGAAGATTAACTCCTTAGTGGGGCATTGCCTCTTCTAGCCAATCCATCAGAGAGGAAGTTTATTTGAAGGGGTCAGAGGAAGAAACACAAGAGCTTACGTGGGAGGGGAGAGCTGTGTGCCTTTAGCAGGTCCTCCCAAGTGGCTTCCAACATCTTACCGAAGTTCTGGGAAGTACCTATGAGCAGAATGAAGGGGGTACTGAGACCTAAGATAGAAAGAAGACGTCCAAAACCTCCAAAGCAGCCATTTTTGATAGCTATCTGCAATAGGTTTTAGCCCCAGTTGTAATGATTTTAAGTTCTCTGTAGGAGTTCATCTAGCTGGCATCTCTGGTGGCTTGTATGAACGGGGGGCGTGGGCAGCCTGTCTCACTGAACACTAGTGCTCTTGGTAAGGGTGAGCACAAACCATGCCAGCTCTCCACCACCACATGGAAGCACGGTTCCAGCGCAGGTCCAGGAGACGTGGATTGGCTGCACCTCGGGCAGGTCAGTGAGAGGAGAAGTTAATGTCTGGTAAGGTGCATTGCCAGGGGCTATGGCTGGAGGAGATGGCCACCCACCCTGGTGAGAAGAGTTTCCACTCAGCAGAAAATCTTGGTCCCATCTCAGGCTGGATGTTGGCCCCTGCTGCCACCTGGGATAAATCTCTGCTGGATGTCAGTGCTGACTCTCCCTTTCATACTAGAGAAAGACTTGTTTTAAGGATCTGTGTTTAAAGGAGAACTATTTAGCTTTGCAGAGGTAAATCTTGCCCTATTTTAAAAATACTCATACTCTTTACAATGGTTTTGTTCCCATCTCTCAATGTAGACATAACTTTTCTGCCTTTTTTTTTTTTTTTTTTTTGCATGCTGGATTTTGCTGGATTTATTCTTTTGTTAGTTATTTTTTTTACATTAATATTAAAAACAAAAAAGTCTTTAAGACCAAAATCACTGTTTTATCTTTTTCTCTCCTTGTCACAAGCAGCAGCTACTGATCTTCCTGCTCAGCTAAACTCACCCCAGCTTTGGGTTCTGCAGATTCTTGGGAGCAGTATAGGCAAGTATGTGTGGTTGAGAGAAAAAATAGAAGACGATTATTTTTAGTTCTTTGTAAGATAGTTAGCTATATGCTGAGACAATGTACCAGAAAAGCAGATGAAGAAGCATCAGGGAACACCAACCCACTGATGCAACAAGTCCTTGCTGAGACCCTGACCTTGCTGAGGAATACAGTTCAGCAAGTGTGTGGCTCTTTTTGGGTTTGAGACTACTTTGGTCAGGCCAGTATCTGCCTGACTTTCAAGGTAGCAATTAAACACTTCTAAATACTTCATTGTTCTTGGAAGGGCAGAAAAATTGCTGGTATGCTTTCACTCCTGCCAGCCTCCACTGAAAAGGGGCTGAAAAGCACAGGAATGTTTAATTTAGATAGGAAACACATAAGTGGTGGTGGTTAGGTAAAGATACACAGGGTAATGAAAAATACAGAAAAAAGCCCAGAAAAATTTGAAATACAAGTTTCCAACTGCACTAGAGCAAAAAAAGGTGCACATGTAAAATCACAAGTAAGCACCTTTGAAAGTTACATTTAATTTTTATGCAACACAAATACTCTGACAAACTCACCGAGCCAGCTACCTCTCAGTTTCACTTTGATGTGTGCAAGTGTGTAGATGACAAGATTGCAGGCAGGAGCATTATGGAGAGCAGCAGAGAGCTGCGAGAGAGCTGTAGCGGGAATTCTTGCCCTCAGTTGATTTCTGATCTTCCGACATCGGTTTTCATTTCCTTACCTTCACTGAAAACCTGCAGTATGAAAAATTTAATGCAGTGAACTTCACTGGAAAAAAGAAAAATCAAATTCCAAAGCAGAGAATAATTTACTTATGAGCCTGTTTGCAGTGTAGCAACACCTGCTATTACAGCTGTTCCCCTCTGTTTCTGGCCATAATGGACCTTATCTTGTGGTGGGTAGTACCATGAGTGGTACTGGGGGAATGACAGGGGGAGAACCAGCAGCTGCAGCCATGGAGCTATGGTTCCTGCTGCAGAAAGCACTTCTGTCCATGTCCCTGTCTTGGGACATGGGCCCAAATATCCCCTTTTCAGCTGTACTGATCCATCTCCTGAAAGACCTGCAGCTGAAACCACCAGCTTAGGGAAAGCTCTGGGTCTTTACAGTGAAACAAGTTCCCTTTCCCAGGCTTTTTCTTCTGCAGCCCTGCTAGAAAATATGTGGATACCCTAATTATTTATTGGAGTTTGGAAAAAAAAGAAGATCCAAAAGGCCCCCTAGGATGACTCAGCATTGTCTTGGAGGCAGCTCATTGTGTCCCAGTGCTGTTCTAATGCCCATATGCAAAGGACACAAAACCCTATGGCTCGTGGTGCTAAGGGCCAGCTACATAGGGAGGGGGTATGCCCAGTCTATATGCTGTCTGGGGAGCACCCTGGGGTCACCCACCCAAAACACAGGCTCTGCACCCTATGCTGTTCACTGCAGGGAGGCATTTAGGGATGAATTTAGGCTCAGAAACTCAGCACCAAATGTGTCACTGAGTTGCTGAAAGAAGCAGCATATTGCTTGCACCCTGTCATCCTGCAGGCAGAAACTCCTGGAGAGTATGGTGCCATTTCAAGGCATGCAGAGGAATACCATCCTGCTTTTCTGCCTGGCTGGAGTTTGGGAGGAGCAACTAAATATTTGCTGGGCTGGACTCGGCTTGCTGATTTGACCCATCACACAGCAACAGGAGGTTTGTGCCTCTAGAAGTCTTTGGCTGAGTAAAACCTGGAAATAATTGTTGGAACCCAGATATGCAGATTTCTTGGGCCTCATGAATAAATCCTGTATTTCCTCCTGCTGTTGCTACTGGTGAGGGAGGAAAGACTCACCCCCCCACCAATTATTTTGCCTTTATTGATAATGCACTGTGGGGCAAAGGATGCATTTGATAGCTCTTGCAGAGCCAAGGGAGATAAGTCAGGGAAACCGACTGGTGATGTGTGTGGGTGCATGTGTGCCTACACTCAGAAATGGGTTTGTTTCCATAAATTTGATTGTCTTCTGGAAAATGCATATCCTGTTTCGGAGAAGCTAATTAAATATAGGCTCATCTACTAGAGCAAGTGGTGAAAAGGCTGTGTGTATTATCTGCCAGAAGAGCTCTATATAGATTCTTTCTGAGCTTCTGCAACATTTATAAGTGTATAAGAGCACGGTAGATTTGCGTGGACTTTGACCAAGGGAAGCAAAGACGCGTATCTGAAGCTACAAATTGGACTATGAGATAAGAACTCTCCTGAAATCTATATGCAATTAAAAGCCCAATCTTCCTTCCTATAGTGACAAGGTTATTGCTTTTATGTAGCTGAACAGAGATGAATGAGCCTATGGATTAATAGCACTAAGATTTATGACTCTGTGCTTGCCCCAAATATTATGGGAGAATATCTCTCTGGGTGAGAAATTCTAGCTGAATAAATTTGACAGGATTTTTCTTTTCCTTTATTTTTTTCCAGCTTGGTATTATTTGGGAGAGTTGTGCTGCATTCAGAGATCGTTAGAGCTGTGATTTGAATATCTACTAATTGTCCCATATATATTCATGCCTTATAGGAGTATTGCTGATAACTAGAGCCCTACAAAGACAAATGTCAATGAGAAAAACAAAACTCAAAGTATGGTATTTTAAAGACCATGACAATTTAATGGCATTAAACTCTTGGCAAGGGCCTGACCAATGATTTCAGTGTAGCTGTGTTGCTTTGTCCACTTGAGAAGGGCGTCATGCCTATGCCTAAATGGATGTCCTAAATGGTACGGCACCGTTACAGTACCTACAAGCTGGAAGCTGGTTGTGCCTGCATCAGCTGGGATAATGTTTATAAAACCATCTCTTCAATTTGCCGTGACAGTGCAAAAGGCCCTTTTGCAGAGGAAAATCCTGATTTGCATAATTTCTCCTTCATTAAATTGGTTAGTTCTTTATCTTGCTGGCTCTGAACATGTTTCACTGTTCCCAGACTCTGAGAGACTTCATCCCAGAGACAATGAAGCCAAAGGAGTCACTTCTAGTAGGAGAATTCAGGTGTCAGCAATTGGGGAAGACCATGGAAAACCATCCATGCTGTGCTGAACTTGAAGACAAGGTTGAAATGTTAAGAGGAAAACAAAAAGCTGCAGGAATTTAAGGGTAGAAGTTTGGGTATAGGAGGGATGGGGTTACATGCCCATATGGGGTACGCAGGTCAGGTAAGGGGTGAGGACTGGAAAACTATGCCCAGGAAAAAGCATGGGCACTGGACAGACCCTGCTCCTCCAAATCATGCCTTGATGCTTGGGTTGCATCTTCCATCATTTAACAAAACTTCAAGGGTATTTTTAGCTTTTCAGGAAAAGCCTCTGGGTGTTAAGCAGCATGGACAGGCATGTGTGCTCCAGGCCCATGGACCAAGCCTGCTTCACCACCCTCTTCACTGCACATGAGCAAGCAGAAGGCTGGTGGCTGGATTTGACCCGAGGAACAGGTGGGAAGACTTGAGAGGTAAGGGAATGTGTTGTCAGGATCTGAGAAGCGCTGGCAGCATGAGGGAAGGGTGCCTGTGGTTTGCCTGCAGCAGCCTCCCCGTTGCTTTCCCTGATAACAAAGTTGCCTTGTCTTGTGGCATTGCAGCATCCTCACAGATTGAGGGAAATTAATTTTAGAGGCAGCTCTTGTTCCATTGTTGTTTTCCTGCGGGAAAAGCTGAGTTTGTTTCCTTAATGCAGTCACAAAGAAATCTTTGTGCAAATGAAACATCAGGACACCCATCTGCCTATTTAACTTTGGCTGCAAATGAGAGTTCCCACTTGCACTTCTGACTTTCTTTTCCACTGTGTGCTTTCTGTTGGCTTTGTTTAGTTCTGCTTTGTTTTGCATTCAGGCTGCAGTAATCCACCTGACTGGGGAGCATCTCTGCTGCTTCCCATTGGTTTGGTATCGTGCAGCCCAGCACTGACAGCAATGTGGTCCAATTTGGTGTCATCAAGAAAGTATCCTAAAAAGGGGTACACAAGCAGTTGCTTTATCTCAGAAGATGTCCATAAAGCAATGGCAGGGGTGGGGGGAGGGAAGAATTGAAAAAAATACTTAAAAAAAAATAATTTCTTTTCTGGATAGGACACATTGATGATGGAGCTGATATCAGAATTGCTTTTCCCTTTCATCTTCTCCTCTCAGAGCCCATCACCTGTGATAACCGAAGGTGAATCTTTATGGCTTTTCCATGCCCTTCGTGCATCTTTTGCCATGTAGCTTTGTCTGCATATATGTTAATGTATTTGTGAGAGTATGAGTGTCAGCTTTCTCTTAGCCCAAGGCTCTCAGCTATTTTTGGAGTTTCCCAAACTTAGGGGACGCTTTTTCCCCACCTTTCTGTCACCATCTGGACTTGGTGTTGAGTGCATGAAGCTCACTGACTCAGAAACACCTCAGGTGTGAAAATTGTTAGTAAAACAAGTGTAAGAGCAATTCATGCACTGGTCAGGGGGAGAATACGTGCAGGAACAGCAAGAGCAGCCACACCTGGGGCTGGCAGGGTTTGATCAGCAGCCAGCAGAATGGATGTGATTTAGATTTTAGTGCTGGGCAGGGTACCTGCCTTGGCACTGAGTTTGCCACGTGGTCAAGGTGAAAGAGACTCTTCTTTCTGCCCTTTTGCTACCTGTTTGCTGGTTTGGGCAGAAATTTATTTCACCATTGGTACAGGAAAACATCCCTCCTTTATTTAATTCATTAAAAGCAGTGTTTGTTATGATCAACACTCACCAAAAAGAACAGCTGTTAAATTAAGCATAAAGTAACACATCTGGCAATAGCACTGTAAGCGACAAAAAACACAAGCCAGGTATAGTTCTTAAAACTTGAACTATTAAAATGGAAAAGAATCATTTTCAAGGTATGGAGCTACAGAGCCATGCCCTATGGGTGTGTATAAGCACACAGGTGAGAGTACATACCAGGTGACATGGGGATTTGCAAAATATGGGGAGTAAACGGGGTCTGCATGTTTGTGAACAGTTTGCTGAAATTATATTAATTTACCCTGTTCTGCTCAGCCCTGGTTGGGCTTTCTGCTCCCTAGCATTAAAACCCACATACAAATGTTAGAAATGGGGAATAGAAGTCTGAACAAGCAGTGGAATGGATTAGAAAAGAGAAGATAAATGGAGAAGTGCCAGTTTTTCCCACTGCATTTTCCAAAATGTCATACTTTTAAGGGATCAGGATCATAAGCGCACTGCTCCAAATGTACAAAATACAGAGAGGATTAGGTAAATGAACTTAATCTGCACAGATGAGCAGTATCAGCAGAGTTTAGCCATGTGGTCATGTTTAGAGTGAAAGAACTATCCTTTGGGTTGGAGTTTCCATCTATTCAAGATGGAAAGGAAGAAGGAATCGGCAAGTTGTGGCTTGTTACTCTGTCTGTCCAAGTGCATTCAGGCCAGGCTCCCCCTAGAGCAGAAATCGAGACCTTTTCTGTCACCTTCAAAGAGCACCCACAAAGAGAGATGCAGGAAGAAGGAAAGCTGCTTTCTCCCCTTCCTGACTCTCTTTTCTGGACTGCTTTAAAGAATAAAACCCCCCCACACAAGTGCTAGGCTGTGTCTGGTGCAGAGAGTTGGCTTCAGCCTGTGGGATGCAAAGCTCATGGGTTTTGAGGCTCCAAAAAACTCATGGCACTGTCAGACATTGTGTTACTGCTTAACGTGCGTGATGAAGGGATAGCAAAAATCACTGCTTTTCAGACCACGCAGCATTTATGCTCCTTGCTGTGACCCACAGTGGCTGTCCAGGGAGGACGCAACTCCCTGTGTTGTCTGGGAAAGCCCCAATAGTGTGGTATTCCCAAAGAGGAGCGGCCCTGGGAAGGCTGAAGAGCAGCTCCTGCCCGTTTCTGGTCTTGTGGCACCACCCAGTGGCTGCTGGCAAAGCGTTGTCTCATCCATGTCACCACGTGTTATCCCCTTGCAGCCCGGCTCTGCAGGGCCGTGGGGACCGAGGTGGTTCCCAGAACATCAGTGATGGCTTGGCTAGGCCCTCCAGGAAAGAGGTCTGCAGGTCACTGCTGTCACCTGCAAACTGGAGAGGAGCACAGAGAGAGTGAAGGGGAGCAGCAAGGTGGGACCCACCACACAGATTTGTATCCTGTGCACCCCCCTCCCCAGGTCAACTGGGATTTGAAATAGATTTTACCCAAGGAAGGCCAGCATTTGTGCTTTTTAATATATAGATATATATTTTTTTCCTAAAAAACCCAATTTGATTACATCAGCTCTCTCTCCCTCATAAATTGAGGTTATGTTTAAGTCCTGTTTTACTAATTTAATCATTTTGCCATTGCATCGCTCCAATTATCTCTAGATTTGTTTCAGAGACCTTTTCTCAATTTGATTCTCTGACGCTTACTGTTTTGCTCCAAATTACATGAATCCTGATTCCCACCCCCTACAAAGAGGGTGAGTGGATAAACATTTGCCGACATGAATAGCTCCAGAAAGGACGCCTTCAACATCAGCGTGAGAGGAAACACAGCATCCAGGAGCCTCAATTCTGAGCAGAAAGAGCCACTGAGGGAGCCTCAACCAAGCCAAGTTGACGGTCCTACACCTGGGTGGGGGCAATCCC